TCACAAAATATTATAGATGAAAGTTTATTACACATTTATATGGTTAAATGAAAGCACGAATATTTTTCAAAATATTTTTAAAATGAACGAAATATAGATATGGTTTTAAGTTGGAGAATGGAGATCGTAATGCTGCACTTTACATGTCAAAAGGCAAAATAGATTATTTAAAATAAAAGAGACCACCTGTGCAATTTTTGAAAATTTGAACTCAGATTTTTAGGATGTGTTTGATAAAATTTAAATCTGGAAATTGAAATCTAAAATCTAAAATTTGAAACTAAATCTATAAAGTTACTGAATTACTAAATACTAAATCCAATACATTTGAGTGTATATAACACTAAATGGTAAGTGAATATCTTATTACCTATTTTTGAAACAAGTTTTATTTAGAAATTTAGTGCCAATTCATATGTACTTTTTTTTTTTTTATCAAATGCTTTTGAACGTATAAGATTTGAATCCATTGAATTTAAGTGTTAAATTATGTTATCAAACGGGACCTTAGTCAAAAAAAACAAAATAATAATAATAACTTTTTCTACACATAAAATTGCAAGAAATTTATAATTGTATGAATCATATAAACAAATTATAGCTCAGTAATATTACACACTGTCCCACGAACTATGGAAGGAACACTAAACGTATAGATATAGTTGGACCTGTAATTACTTTTCTTGATCGATTACTTAAGCAAGCTGGCTAAGGGGGACTCTTGAAATAAGTCTTGCTTATTTGACTGCTTCTTTTTCATTCATGTATAACACTTCAGTTAGTTGCGTTAATGAGTAGTTGCATTGATTGCTCATCAGCTGGCTAAAGACTCGAAGGAGAATAAGGGTTAATCAAATGGATGCTTTATCATATAGTTTTGCCTTTTGCTTTGCATCTTTCTAATTTCTCATCATACAGGCTATGATCTCAGTTGATGGGGTTAATTATGTTGGATTATAAAAAGGCCGTTGATAGATTAGTAGCTGGTCCTTGAATTATGGGCAATCGATTTCTTTGTTTCTTCTTGACTACTAGCATCTTGTTTCGATGGACTAAATGATTGATAATACGCCAATGACGGTAAGTAGGTTCGTATGAGAAAAGTTGATCACCATATCTATCTTAATTAGTACCTTCCTCCTCTGTTAACATCTTTCCACCTGAGTTGAGATTTTTTTTGAAGGTAAATCGCATCAGGTTTTCGAAATAAAAACCAGTTGTAGATATCAGATTTGTCCCACGATGAAGGAAAAACCATACGTCAAAAGCGTAACAGAAAGAAACGTGAAAAGTGACCTTTTGGCCTTGTAAATTAGGAAATCATATCACGATCATCAGAAGAGAACCAACATGATTAATCGACTAATTATATGAAACTGGGAAACTCGATTATTCGTACATTGTTGTTAGTCATCCTAATTTGTTGCCATTTAATAAAACTTCTTCATTTCACTGACACAAATCATAATAAACAAGGGTTTTTCTGACGAACACTCGTTAACACACCTATTATTCACCTAACTTATCATATATTTACACATACTAATAATTATTATCCTCTCTTGTATTTATATATATATATATTTTTTTTATTTAGTCTTACCTACTCTTCCTTGTATTTATTTATTTTTTTCCAATTAGTTTTATATTTTCAAAAATATAACATCTGAAATATATTTTAACGAGTGTCCTATGGGCATCTGTTAGACAAATCGAATAAACAATTATTTGCGTCAATGAATCAATCCGCACTGGAAAGCAAAAGTATGTTTGCTTGGTTTAGAAATTTTCTTTCCCCTGGAGGATACAAAAGAAGAAGTTTAATAGTACTACTTTGTTGAGAAGTTTTTTTTTTTTTTTTTTTTTGGATTGACGTCGCAATATCCTCTCCTTTTCTCTTCAAGCTGGAGTCCAGCAGGCACGTTACAATGAGGACAACAAGAATGATTAATATTTGTTCCGGCCATGAATAAATCTTAGTATGATGCAGATCCAGAAGAAGTTTCTCCAAGTTAAAATCAAAAGCAAAGAAAATGCCAAAAAAATAGATACAATAAAAAGGATATCGACAGGTAAAAGATGGGAAATACATATTCACAAATTATTGTCCCTGTAGGAAAGTCCGTCAGAGAAATAGCCAAATTTAGAGTGAAGTACGAGGCTCAAGAGGTTTAGTACTATTTTTATGTGGAGTCGTCTATTTGGCGTCTTGTCGGGTGTTATTTTTTTCTTTCTACGGAAAAAAGGTTAATTTTTATTACAAATATCACAATTTAGGGATAAGTAGTAATTTTATAGGTTTAATAGAGAGTCTATCTTCCTTTTTGTGTGCTTATCTAGTGTAAATTCAGAAACTCCAAAAAGAAAATGCAAAGCTATCCATCCCATTATGTAGAAACTATGCAGACAGAAGGTATTACATATAAATTATCTGACTATTAAGCATTTATTACAGTAAAAGGGAAGCAAAAAACAAAAATCTGTTAAGCGGTTAACAAACTCGATTTTTATGCCTCTTAGACTTGAGCTTAATTTCTTTGTTTTTTTCAAGAAAAACTAGAATTTTACCCGTGCATCAGCACGGTCTTTATTTATTTATTTATTATGAATTTATACAAATATGAATAATTTAAATATATATAAACACATAACATAATCCAAATAGGATTCAGTATGGTAAAACCCAAATAACCCACAATACATTAATTCAGTGAGAAACACTGTGATTAAAATAACTATCTTCATATATATAAATATATATATATATATATATATATATATATATATATATATATATATATATATATATGCGCACCTGCACGTCTACTTTAGCCTTGGGGCTTAATTTCTTTGTTTGCATGAGTTCTTTTTTTTTTTTCAATAAAAAGTTTGTGTGAATTCGATTCTGATCATCAATAAGGACCAGAGAGTATGTTCAATCGAAGCTAAAATTCAAACACATGACTTTTATTTAAAAGAATAATCCGACCTTACCCACTAACCGACATACATTGGTTCATGAGTCCTTTTGTTAGAGGGCAAATTATCCATTTGGCCCTTGAACTTTTAGTTTAAGGAAAATTAAGCCCCTTAACTATTTTTGGACAACTTTTAGCCCTCAAACTTGTAAAATTGTGCACCTGTGACCTTTTGACCAGTTTATCCGATTTTGCAACCCTTTTGACCATTTTGCAACAGGAAAAGCTAATTCACACGAATGGCAGTAATCTGAGTGGGAGGGATTTTTGTCCGCATATTCTAAGCAAAAAGGGAACAACTGCTCCCTGTTGTGATGAAGCGCCCAGCAGGGGAACCACCCTAAAAGAGGATTTTTGCAACTGAATGCCTGCGTGCTGAACTGCCACCTCCATGGCCATCTTGACCACGGCCTTCATTGTGTGACTGATTCGTATGGCCTTTGCTCTTGAATTTTGCACCTACGTTCCTACAACAAAGACTCCAACTTTTACTGTTGTATACAAGCCAACTGCAATTGCTAAAGGCCGCACAGCCCAGTGAAAATCCTCAGCATGCTGGTACTTCTTCATTACTCCAGGACATGTATCGAAAGAGACAAGCTCCACTTCAGCTGGATCTACCAAGAAACTTTTACATTCTCCCCCAATCACAAGTATTGCTGGGAATTTCACAATGACGCACCCATTTGGAAGTATTGAGAAATTCTTCCAGTTGCCCGCATATCTCTGCCTTTACGAGGTCACTTAAAGCGGGGATTCACAATACTTGCCTTCAACCTCACAAACTGCCCCACAAAATACGGCTCTGCCATTTGGAGATCAGAAGGATGTCCTTTCCACAGAGTTTGTAGCCCTAAGAAACCAACAGCAACATTTCCATCACGTTGTATGAAGTGTAGAATACGCACAGATGAGTGTTCTTCGTTTTCCTTAATCAAGCGGACCCAATCTCCAATAGCAAATCCAAATGTAACCCTCTCAAGAGTTGAAACGTTCAACGTAAGAGGGTTTGGCAAACTAGGGATTCGCACAAGAACATATCCATCTTGATCAGTGTCCTTCTCCAAGCCAACTACAGTTCCTTCTGTTACAGCCATTGTCTGAGTACTGCAAGAATTTACTGCCTTCCGTGAACGCACTATGTCACCAACTTGAAGATGATCTTTTGAGAGAGACCATGAGGCATAGCTCTTGCAAGTTGACTTGTCCAAGAGGAGTGTGCTCTGAGGACCGCTCCCGTCCTCTTCAATAGTAGCAACATTCAGAGATCTACAAGCATCCGCTCCTCTGTTTCTCTTAATTTTGCCTTCAACTTGGCAGCTTTTGCCTCGGATCTTGCTACTGCAGTTTCAAATTCCTCTTTTTGCTTTTCTGTTGCATTGATCCGCCTTAGAAGGCCTGGTATCAACTCGATAGAATGACGGCACATCTCGTCGTCAATCCAATTCCAATACCCACAGCCACCAACTTCTTCTGAGCAAACGGCATACCTTCTCCTTGGATTTCTATCAGTCCAAGAAGTAATCATCTTCGTGACTTTACCGCAAGGACAAATAGGAAGCACAGGGCTACGATATTTGCGCATTTTTTCTTCCCTTCACTTCACTTTACCTTCTTCCCTTTTTCTTGTTTCTTTGCCGACTTCTCTCTCTTCCCTCTGCAATTCGTTTGTTGAATAAGTTAGCGGTTGGGTTAGGTTAGGAAATGGGAAGAAGGAGGAGGTGTTCCCTTTTTGCTTAGAATATGCGGACAAAAATGCCCTCTCACTCAGATTATTGCCATTCGTGTGAATTGGCTTTCCGATTGCAAAAGGGTCAAAAGGGTTGCAAAACCGGATAAATTGGCCAAAAGGTCACGGGTGCACAATTTTACAAGTTTGAGGGCTAAAAGTTGCCCAAAAATAGTTAAGGGCTTAATTTTACTTAAACTAAAAGTTCAAGAGCCAAATGGATAATTTGCCCTTTGTTATATATATATATATATATAAGTCAAAAAAATTTTCAACTTGTAGATGTGGAAGGTAGCTCTTGGATTGCAGCTTGGGATCTGGGGCTGGCCTCACAACCGGCAGCAGGCACCCGAGTTATAATCTCGCCGCTAGGGGTTTGTGAAGGGTTTTGAGATTGGACTGGAGTCCTCTCCTCCAATTCATACTCTCTTGGATGCTTATACCTTGAGCCGGGGACACAAACATTGGTATTGGATATTCCTCTTCCAAATTTTATTAATTTGGCCGGTTATGTTTATGTGGGCATGAAAAATCGTTATTTGGCAAAATTGCAGGAGCTATTCCTATTTCCTACTTGAATTACCATTAAAGAATTCCATCTTGCTATTAATAAAATGAACCACGTAGGGCAAAGTCATGCTTACAAAGAATTTTGGCCGGACCACTGCAGGAATGTATATCTTTGGCTCAAGAAAATGGAATGTGTTAGATAGAGCCATTTACATATGAACCGTCTCAGTCAATGAATTCTTGAAATCGTATTCAAATAAACTAGATTGAAGCCGGACGGAGGAGATTCACCAAATCTTCTCTCCTCTTGTGTCTCGGCGGTTGCAATTAGGTCCAAAGCATAGTCAAACATAAAAAGATGGCATAATGCAATACACAGCTTTCGGAAGTTCATTTTGTTTCTGTCTCCCGCATGCATGTCTCAATTGAACGTCTCCTACTACTTTAATCTTCTTAGGTTTCGTCCGTTGCGTTCACTGTGATTATACAGTTGGATTACATGTCACCGTACATCAGAAGCCCAAAATTGATGAGCGCCACAGGACTTTAAGACTAGACGTATTCAAGCTCAAGAAAAAAAAAATGGTCCAAAATCAAATGCAAATGCCTTTTGACTATTGAGTAGTATTGAAACGAGGCTATAGTTTAAACTTTAGTGAAGCACAGGCAAACTCTCCCAGCGCCTGTCATCAATCTCTTTAGTTTTCTTGGTTTGAATTCGTTTGACAATAATAATGTGGTTCTTCATACCATGTAATAGTGAGAGAAATGACTCCGAATGTTTCGGCTCAATATATCTTCTCTTTTCTTTTTTTTTTTTTTTTTTGGTTGGAGGGAGCTTCATATATCTTCAAAGTTGTTATACTATTTCAATTAACTCACTCGATCACTTGGAAACGTCAAGTGATAAATAACTTACTTGGATAAAAATGTCATGACAAAAATAAAGCAAGGGTGACTGATTTAGGAGTGCGAATATAATTTTCCTTCGAAGAAAATTCATGGTGAGTTTTGATATCTTAGTATAAGGAAAGATGAGGTCCAAGACTCAAAGTTGGTACTCCATTAAATTCCCCCGTGTTCCTTTTTCTTCTATTGAAATATTGAAGCAAAAAATATATCCGTCATAGTTGGCGATGAATTTCGGCGGTCCAAATGCTTTTGACTCCGCTCAAAGTGTTGATATTGGTTTGCACTTCGCAGATTCTCTGATCCTCGCATGGCATGATCTCATCAAAAGTTAAATCCCCCTTGGAATTGGAAATGTTGTCTGGATTTGTCCGGAATTCTCTCCGGGTTCTCAAATTCTCCGTTTCAACCGTCATTTTAGCTCATCCGTTGTTCCCTAATAATGTACAACTGCCAATTCCTCTTCCCGACCAGTCTCTCTCCCTGAACGTGGGAGTTTCTTTGTTTCTTCTTTTTGGATCATTTTGAGTTGCATTCACCATTCTTGATTCGAAACAATGCTAATAATGGTGAGCTAATCTTATCCGGGCATTCATTATTGCTGTGAAAATTGTAGTGCTCGTTCAGCATTTTTTGTTTATACTTTTTCATTTTCCAATTTCAATCAGTCAATGCATGTGTTTATTGTGTGTTAGATTGGTGGTCATTTTTGAGCAGCTGTTTGCTATCAGACATCAAAATGTCACTAAATTTACCTTGTTACTGGCAGATTGGAAGGTATTGCTCATTTTAGTGCTGAATACGTACATTTGCATTACAAACTTCAAGACCCGAAGGTTTTACCACCTTTATTAAGGTAGGATTTCTTGTGTTGCCTGAGTTACTCACACAAGCGATATAGCACTGCCAATACAAAAAATATTGTTTTGTGATTGCATGCAGCCCTCAAAAATGTAAAACCCCAGTCCTTTTTTTTTTCCGAATTATTTTTCTACTACAATTTCATCCATATCTTATGTATCATGAATGATCATTTCTTATTCTTTTCCCTTTTATCACATATACAGAGGCTTGTAGGGGTGTATTTCCATTTTGGTGGCGTAGGACGAGCGTAGAGCTTAGAGATGAGTTCCTCTTCTTTTCACGAAGGGAGGAGGAACCCATATTGGTTTTTGGTTCTCTAGTTTACCTGCCCATTGATTCTCCTTTTCAAGTGCATCTTCGGTAGCAGCTGGGGAATTGATTTTTGAGTCAAAGATGGGGATGGTTAATAATAATGTGGACGAGTCGGCTAAGTGGGATAATCAATTGTCAAATGCTCACGAAGAGAAGATCTTTGTCTCGATTAGACTGAGGCCTTTGAATGACAGAGAACTTGCAAATGAAGATGCTGCTGTTGGGATGCATCAACAGCACTACACTTCTGTACAAAAATAGCCTACCAGAGCGTTCCGCGATACCAACTGCCTATAATTTTGGTGAGCAAATGGAGTAGCTCTTCCTTAAATGTGATGCAATTTCTTTTTGGCATTCCTGTAGCGGTTTAAGTAAACTTTCCTCTTCAGTAACTACACGATGAAACTCAGAAAACCAAGGCTCTCAGAAAGTTTTCTTGTCTCCTAAATAGTTGATTCTATGGAAAATCTTGAGGTTAGTTGTTCCAGAAAGTCACATTGCCATTTAATTGAAGATATCCAGTTTAGCCTGATAATCAGGACTGATCCAATGTGCAATAGGCCACACATTTTGAGAACCAAAAATAACTTCAATATTGTCCTGCTGTTTCTACTTCGTTTTTGTTCCAACATTGACTTGTCATTTCCTTTTCAATCCTCTGGGAATAGATAGAGTATTTGCAGGTGATTGCTCCACGATGCAAGTGTATGAGGAGTCTGCTAAAAGAGTTGCGCTTTCTGTTGTGGGTGGCATTAACTGTGAGTATTACTCCTGTCCTTGTCTTCTTTGAGAGCAAATCATTACTGTGATAAGACTATTCTTTAAAATAAAATGCTTCTGCAGCAAGTATATTTGCCTATGGCCAAACAAGTAGTGGAAAAACATACACTATGTGTGGGATTACTGAGTACGCAATAGCAGATATATATGACTACATACAGAAGGTACTTGCTTTTCCATTTTCTTTCTAGAATTCTTTTGCAACTAATTTTGCTGTTTCTTTATTTCATCTGGACCTCCTCTAACAACAATAGATGTTTTTGATTTCACAGCATCCCAACAGACAATTTGTCTTGAAGTTCTCCGCAATGGAGATTTACAATGAAGCCGTGAGAGATCTGCTCAGCTCAGATGCTACTCCCCTAAGACTCCTAGACGATCCAGATGTAAATGCGTAAAATATTAAAAATTTGTGCAATTTTTGAAGCAGTAGATGTGCTAGTGAATCTTATTTTCTTTTTTTCTACAGAGGGGAACCGTGGTTGAAAAAATAACAGATGTTGCATTGAGGGATTGGAGCCATTTAAAGGAGCTCTTATCTCTCTGTGCAGGTAAACGAGTGCACCTCCTATTGCAAATAGATTACCAGAAGTGAGTGCCATGGCTCAATTCCAAGTTGAATTTGTATTTTTGCAGCTCAAAGAAAAATTGGAGAGACTTCTCTGAATGAAATGAGTTCCAGGTCACATCAGATATTGAGATTGGTATGTCTATTAGTTCCTGAGCTAGTTTCAGTGCTTAAGATACCTAGATAGTAATTCATAAACTTTAACTTAAATGTCAATTTTTATAGGTCAGTTGGTAAACCTCTTACAAAACGTGAATTTTGATGCCCAAGACATTCAAACATATCTTTGTCTAAGTCATCAAATGGATCACATGGCATTGGACTTTAACACTTATAATATGCTCCCCAAAACATTCATTAATTCTTCTGCAACAATGTATTCTTGCAGACAGTTGATAGCTCTGCTCGAGAGTTCAGACGCACTGAAAATTCCAGCACTCTATCAGCTACAGTGGTATGGACCTTTTTTTTTTTTTCCCTTAGTGTTATTCTGCTGATGCTTGGTAATTTCATGCTCACTATGAGCCCTGCTCAATGATTATTCCCTTCTACTAAGCTGTGCATGATGTCAATAGATGAGATACAATTTGGCATCATCTTTAAATTCTCTTGCCATCACAGAATTTTGTAGATCTTGCTGGAAGTGAACGTGCTTCTCAAACCTTATCAGCTGGTACAAGACTAAAAGAAGGTTCCCACATAAATCGCAGTTTGCTGACCCTTGGAACTGTTATTCGCAAGTTGAGGTGGAGCTTCATTTTTTTTTTCCTTAAGAGTTTCTCACATTTGGATATTAATAACTGGCAATACTGTTGTTGGTCCTGCTCTTTCGTGTTCTGGGGGTAGGGGCCAAGCACTGTTGGTCATTGAAAGGTCTTCTTTCCCATGTATAATGATAGCATGGCTCTTTCTAAGGTTGAAGAAAATATAATTTTAGAAGAACTAGAAAAAAGGGAAGAAGTTCAAAAGGAGAAAGGGAAAGAATTAGAAGGAAGACCAAAACAATTTAAGGAGAGAATTGCAGTGCTCTAGTACTTACTACTTGTGGAGAAGACTGTAAGTTGTCTTTCCACATAGCTTATACCTATTTCTCAGGAGTCCACAAAATCGATAATAAAATATTTATTAAATCAAAACAAAGAAAATCTGCTTATAGATATTTTGATCGGATGTAATGTAATAGTCATTTCCTTAGTCTGATCTTCAGTGAATGGTAATTTCCTCCCGTTGTATTCCTTATCATGTCCGAAACTGAAATGATAGCCATTATGTACTGAGAACACCAGAAAACCAAATGATAATAACTAAAATTCCAGAATAAAGAGCAGAATATGCACTCAGATACATGTTAACGATATGTTACTCATGTTTTTGTGAGGTTTCAGTCAGCATTTTGAGCTTGTTACTTGAGGTGAGGTTTTCAAAGGTGCTTTAGTAGCCATAACTAAGACTGTAATGTACATTTGTCAATATGCATTTCTTATTGATTTATGACCATCAATCTATTCAGCAAAGGTAGAAATGCACACATTCCATACCGAGACTCCAAGCTAACACGAATACTTCAGAACTCGTTGGGAGGCAATGCAAGAACAGCCATCATTTGCACCCTGAGCCCTGCACACAGTCATGTTGAGCAATCAAGAAACAGTCTACTATTTGCAAGTTGTGCCAAGCAAGTTAGCACCAACGCACATGTCAATGTAGTGATGTCAGAGAAGGCATTAGTGAAGCAATTGCAGAGAGAATTAGCTAGACTGGAGAGTCAATTGAAGAATATAGGATCACTTTCTAACTCATGTGACTCTCTTGCATTGAAAGAGAAGGAGCTTCTCATTGCAAAGGTGACAAGAAATTAATTTCCTTCAATCTTTGGTTTTGCATCCATAACATATGATTTCATTTCGTTTTAGCCATCCAAAACAATTTAGAATGCACCATACAGGGTGGGTTCTCTTGCGCTTTGTCCAGCTTGAAATCCACATGGGGCCATATAAATTTTGAATGTAACTAGAATATTTATCTAGCTTTATGCATACAGGTATGCTTAGCTAGTGTATTTACTTCTGCAGATGGATAAAGAGATTAGAGAGCTAACTGAGCAACGTAATGAAGCTCACTTTCGCCTTCAGAATTTGATGCAATCAGCTGGAGAATCTCAAGGTTCAAGACCATGGGTATGTGTACTCACGACATGTTTGTCATACGTTTTACCCTCATATTACATCTTGATAAAGTTTATTCTCCTTCCATCATTTTTAGGATGCACTCAGTAGCATGTCAGAACCTCAAGAGAAAGGCACATGGCTTGATGAATATCCAGCATCAGAAGCATCAGAGATAATTGATCCTTTTCGCTTAGATGTTGGTTCAAGCATATCTCATTTTTATGACAAAGGTGAAGGCCTGAGTTTTAACAAGTCCGAGGAACAATTTGCTGAATCTTCTGAAGAACAATTTCTCTCTGATGATACCTCCCCAAGAATGTTTATAGAGAAGTACTTTGGTCCAGATCCAACACAAGGTTGGGAGAAAATTGCAGAAAGAATTGACCTGAACAATGAAGACAATTGCAAGGAAGTTCAATGCATTGAAATTGATACAAGCATCAGAAAGATAAACTTTGACTCAGTGTCATCCCCAGAAAAGGAGAATCAGGGTTTGGAGAATGTTAACCTGAGAATGATAAACTTTGACTCAGTGTCATCCCCAGAAAAGGAGAATCAGGGTTTGGAGAATGTTAACCTGAGAATGATAAACTTTGACTCAGTCTCATCCCCAGAAAAGGAGGATCAGGGTTTGGAGAATGTTAACATGAGGAAGATAAACTTTGACTCAGCGTCATCCCCAGAAAAGGAGAATCAGGGTTTGGTGAATGTTAACATAGACCATGATAACAGAACTCTGAAGCCAACAGTTGACGAGGTTAAGGAAATTACAATTTCTCCCATTCATTCCCATCCAGTGGAACAGTATTCTTCTTCATCAGACTCAGAACTAAACGACTCGAGAAGCATTGAGTCATCAAGGAGCAGAAGTTGTAGCGAAGTCCTCACAACAATGCCATTTTCTCCCAGATCGAAGATGGAAAAAGAACATGAAACACCATCCATTGAATTTGAGGAGGACTCGATTAGAAGTCTGGAACACAACAACCTGAAATTCTCCGAGTCAGAATCAGTTGCAGATGGTAAAGATCTATGCAGAGAACAATCGAGGATGGGAAGTTTTCCGAGTTAGAATCAGTTGCAGATGGTAAAGATTTACACAGAGAGCATTCCGAGGAATATTGTGAAAGTGACTCCACAGATGCCAAGGAAGAAAGTATGAAGGCATTGGGACTTGCTGATGAGGTGGTCAAGTCTAAGAATCAGTTCGTGAATGAGCAGGTTCTCTCTCTCCTAATTCGTCACCTTCCTTACTCAGTAGTTAATGCTTACTATTTATTAATTGTCACCCAATGTGAAGAATGCATCTTAATCACCTATTGATTGACACTGTACCTTTTGGTTATCATGCTTGCACAAAATTGGACAAAATTCCAAAATGAAAACATCCCCAACATGGCTTATTGTACAAGTGTTTGTCATTAATTATTCTAATACTTCAAATGACAAAGCAATCTTCCTTAAACTGTGAAGCAGTAGGTCTACTTGCTTTGATACCTGCTCATTGATTTATCTGTTAGGTCCTGGATGCTGAACCAACTTCTAACAAGTTTGAAACAGATTCTAATCTTGTTTTGGGTGGAGTACATGATTCTCAGAAATCCCCTTCAGATTGGTCCATACAATTCGAGAAGCAGAGAGCAGAGATTATTCAACTCTGGGATGCTTGCGACATACCATTGGTCCACAGGACCTACTTTTTCCTGGTCTTTAAAGGAGATCCATCTGACTCTATATACATGGAGGTAGAACTCCGCCGATTGTCCTTTCTCAAGGTGTCTCAGCAGACTAATACTGTGAAAAATGGTCAATCCTCGAGGTATAGATCTATTCTTGCTTTCTTTTTCTTTCCAACTCATTATGACATGCCAAATACGAGCTGCTTTTTGCACCAAGAAGCTGTTATGTGAGCTGAAGACACAACAAACCTGTACTACCACACTAACTATAGCTTGGCGGGATGAGTAACTTATTAAGGCCGTATCTAACTGCTTGCTCTATCTCTATTCCCAAAATTTTCTAGTTATCTTCATCTAAGTTGATCCCAAGCATCTTGAAAAACTCATATTAGCGGAAGACACCTTCTTCATTCCTGGTTTTACAGTTATATCAGTCGTATAATTAATTACTTTGGCTACAGCACGAGAGCACTGAAACGCGAAAGAGAGATGCTGAGCAGCTTAATGCTTAAGAAGGTCTCAAACACGGAGAGAATGGCCCTATTCCAGAAGTGGGGTATTGGATTAAAAACAAAGAGAAGAAGGCTTCAGTTATGCCAACGATTATGGACAGACACAAAAGACATGGACCACATCAAGGAAAGTGCTGCCCTGGTTGCAAAATTGGTTGGCATTGTGGAGCTGAGCCACGTCCAAAAGGAGTTTGTTGGACTCAGCTTCTCAACCCCACAGGTGAATGTTAGGTCCTTCAGTTGGAAACACAGCATGCCGTCTCTGGTGTAGCTGGAGGCAGTGCAGTACCTCATCCAAAGAGATGAAAGAAGAAATCCAATAAAAGATAAAGAAAAAGAAGAATGGTATATAGTTTTCCATAGCTAACCTAACTGTTTTGTATATTGTTAACATGTATAGGAATTCTGCTCAGGACCCAAATTATGTAAGAGAAGACTGATTTGAAGTCTCATTCAAATTCAATCATTCTACTATGGTCATTGCTATTCAGAATCTTCAAATAAATTGGCATTTTATAAGCGACCAAGCCTAGAACATATAAACTGACATCCGCAGCAAATTGCAGTGAATAAACAATTATTTGAATATGCAGTTGCTACGTGACTAGCAAAAACTTGACCCATGCCATCATGGCTGCAAAAATGATGTATTGTGGTAAACAGGATAGCAATTTTTCAAGGATTTTCACAGAAAAACTCGATCCCTCCCCTAGTCCCCTGTTCCTCACGGTTGCAAAAATACTATGTACTTACGTAATGAAAATAAAAAATAAATAGAAAATAGAAAAAAATCAAGAATCAAGCAGCAATAAAACTATAAGTGCTTGTGATGCGATTGTGTCCATTCTGGTTCTGGATCGCGATGACGAGTTCTCTGTTGTTGGCTTCTGGAGGCCGAGAGCTCCACTTCGGCTTCGCTAACTAATCCAACACCTCCACCTGAAAAGCACGAAAGATCAGATAGTGATCACAGGAATGGGTTTGTCAAGTTTCATACTCGCTAATTTCCGGAATTGGTTTGGTTAAGCCCAAACTTCGTTTACGGATCCATCAACTTAGTCCTCATAATAATGTTTCAGAAGCAGTTATCAGGGTTGCAGCAGAATTGGTGATTTGGGCAAAAGAGAGTTCCCCAGAAAATTGGAAGATAACCTCAAAAGTGCAAATTTACATACCCATTTTAAATGAACAAATAACATCCCCACCTTTTTTCACACGTGATGTTTGACAACATAACTAACAAATGAACAAAAAGAAAAAAAAGAACGGGTTCATCTTACAAACGAACAAATGGATTTATTCCACATGCTGTTCACGACGGAGAAGACAAGAAAGGAGAAAGTGAACGAAATCCTGGGTGCCGCCCATTGGCCTGACAGTGCCATTTAATCCAATGGGATGGATATCAGAGCTTTCCTTCAATCCTGGCCTGAGTGAGCCCAACACATGCATCAACAAAGTCCTCGTCTATAAAATCTGTTGAGAAGATTTGCAAACGATCGACGTAACCCTTGGAAAGGCACTCGATAATAAACAGTCTAGCATACCCATGAATTCGATTGGTGACCGGTTTCACACATAAAATTGGATTATCAGCTTGAGGCGTTGCTGTATTCTCAACCCTGTAAAAGAATTTCCTGGAATTCGCAGGTGGCTGCTGGCTCAAATGCTTCATGTTGCTGTCAAAACTTTGTAGATGGCAAATCAGTGTCAATCCAGTTGTCCTTCAAATAGCCAGCGCTCCACAGTGGACTTCCATGCTGAGGCTGTGGAGATTTCCTCGGCTTCCACACGCAAATTACTCTCTTAGGCAATATTCTGCAATAGTCTTTCCAAAAACTGAATCATCCTGGGGAATAAGATATTCCCGAGCTGATCCTCCAAGTACTTGTCAAACTCAGGAGGATCATCGTGTCCGAATTCTGTCCGAATTTCAAGAACTATGACCTCAGATTGGGTTTCTGAGAGGAACTTCTTAACATCGTTGATGACAACATCGACGCTGTAGGTCAGTAGGATCCCATGGCATACCCGTCGATCCTCTGAACTCGGACATCGACGACTCGGGCACTCTGACGAGCTGACGGTAGATTGAAAGAGATTGGCATTGAGCAAATGGGCGGTGATGCAAGGAATTCCAATCTTATATAGCAGAGTCATGGGTTCCAGGCCACACAATCTTTTCTATGACAAGTTTCCCAGGGTCAAGGCCTAACATCAGTTTTTCCTATCTGCAGGACGGTAATCTGAACCAGGAAAGTCACTTCCACTGCTTTGCTTTAGATCAGCCAAAGCTTTCATCTCGGTTGAGATATTCTTCCTGCGTTCCGCCTGTTTAGAGACCTGGGCACCATGATTAAGAGAAGAGGGGAAACAATGCTGTAATCGTCCTTCCCCTTCTTCTTCTTCTTCTTCTCTCTGCTTTAGATTCCTTGCCCTCTATCCTTTTCTCTTTGTTTGTCAACGTACCGGCAGGAAAATGATTGGATTTGTCAGTCTTTGTACGTGCATGCGCGCTGTATTTTACAAAAATTATGTAACGGGTCAAGAATTTAACCATAATTATGATTCAAGGATAAGGTTCAATGGTTATGACTAAACTATCATAATGATAGATAGAAAGATGAAGCTTTTCAATACCCTTCTTTCAATCTTTTAATAAATTGTCTCGTCAATGTCACTACACACATTTAGAGACATTTGGCGTTGATTTGGTATGGTGGAGCCGCCACTTGAAATTATTGGCCGATAGTCATAATCTCTCGTGCCAATCAATGCATTTGTATATAATCCTCTTTGTTTTGTTTGGTCGCTGGTAGTTGTACAGCTGCCCCTGTGCCATTTGGTTTTGGTTGGTTTTGATTAATGTTGTCACATTCGCAATATGTATATATCTTCCTTCTTCTTGTCGACCTTCAGCTAAACGTACCCATAGACAAACAGAAGAGATCATCATTTCCGTCTAACCAGCTGCCACTTGCAATCCAGAGATGCAAGAAAAAAAATATGCTACTATGTTGCAGCCACTGAGCGTAGTTAACAAAGTACTATCTGATTACGAGTCACCAGTCGCAACCTTTCAACGGTGATTTCACAGCCTTGGTGATAAACTAAGAATTGTGCAAACCAACAATCATATAATTCTACAACGATAGAATATACTCAGCGTTGAACTTTTTCACAATTCTACATCTGGAGCAATACCTTGAGCAATTTTTTTTGCATATCTCAAGCAATGGAAGCAAACATTGTCTGCCATGCAGTCTGGCAAAGTGCTACAGTCCAACGGCATTTTGTTCACACTGCTCGATTTTGGCAATCTTAGATTCCATTCCGAAACCAGAATTAGCAACATTCGTTCTATGCTTATTACCGAATATTTGTGTTGAGCCAGCAAAAGAATCAACAATAGTGGCAAAACTTTAATACTCAATCCACCAAAAACACAGAACTAATTCAACTCCATGAGTTCAGCAACATTTACATTAAAGAATTCATCACTATACAGATTCCAAATCATGCTTTTAGGACAGCTCCTTCTGTGATTTTCCAGCCTGATTTTGTACATGACATTTCATACCTTGTTGTGTAAATAGAATTATAAGAATCATTGTGTTCTGGATGGACCACATCAGTGAGCTGAGCTGACTCCTCAAGAGTGGCTTCCACAATTGCACGCTGACCATCAACAGAAACTGTTACACTGTCAATGTTAAGGTTCAATAGCATGTGTTGCCAAAACCAACCGTGTTGCGCAATCTCTGCTCCACGGTCTGTCCAAATTTTCAGCATTTGCCCATCCAGAACCTGGAGGCAAGTTAACATTCTTATTTTTAGTCTCAGGAGAATAAAAATAGTGCAGTTGAAACCAGGATCTTCATCCTACAACAAGCCCAGCTATAAAACCCAACCCATAATGAATAAGCAATCGAAGAGATTCTCCAGCTCAATGTTTGTATTTGGACTCTAGCTTGAACTTTTACTAAGGCTATTGACAACAGACCAAACGATCGAGTTAATCACCTGTTGCACCTACCCGTTTACTGCAATGCCTCTCCAGAAAGAGAGCTTAGAAAAATCTAGCAGATAAACTAGTAATACACGATACTTTGATCAGAATAGATATATATATATATATATATGTTGTTGTGGGTGTGTCATGTGTGTGGGTGTGGGTGTGGGGATGCATGTGTATATGTGTGTGTGTGTGTGAGAGAGAGAGAGAGAACCAGGCATGCGTGGCTGTGTCACAATTTATGCCAAGTTTCTAAATGATATTGAGTGCCACAAATATCCAGGCATTCTGATTGGCTTCATTTCAGACAATGCACGATTAATATATTTCATTGCTACCAGATCCATGTACTTATAAAATAAAGGTCAGATTAGAACCCCCAAGGGGGAGTGAAATAAAAACGAAACCAAAAGCTAGAAACAGTAGGAGGAAGCCAAGACTTTGACAATCAAATCACAAATTTACTCAGTTGATTCTTACCTCTGACAATTTTTCAAGACAATGATCAGGTCCAAGAGCTTCGGACTTGATATTTTGCCACTTGCGAACTAGATTTTCAGCCAACCTGGCATCCATCCTAGGTATTTTTACGTCCTTTTCATCTACTGATGCCCCTGCAATTTAGGCAACAATCAAGAGAACGAAGAAATAAAAGCCAGAGAGAAGGATGGACTCACATTAGAAACTGATGCATACGCTCTCATTTATTAACTGTAAAACAACTTCAAAATACATCCTGGATATTTACAAATCCAACCGCAAAGAATTCAATATAGAAGGGAAGTAATGGCACCACCCAAAGAAGCGTATAGTGCTTTGCATGGATTTGATATACTTTCTCAGTGAAATTGTCCAGCAGTACAGCAAAACAGCTAATGTGGTATATTTCTGTGGCTGTAACCAGCCTTATTACAGGAGTGTTGTCCCAGAATAATGTTTTGGTGTGTCAATTTCTAATCGCAAACCTTCATGCTTTTTTAATTTGCTCATTAAATTTCATGTACATATATGAAAGAAGATGTCAAGATACAGCAATCAATAATTTCTTGACTGACATAATCTGTAGGTCATACCCACATTGATGACGTCAGATTCAATAGCTGAACCAGCATCTTTGCGCAGAGTTGACATGCCATGTCTACTTGGAATGAACTTCAACCCAAACAGAGCAAGCAAACCAACAGCTACTCCAGCACACATAATCTTCACGATTGTCTCTTTTATTTCCTCAGTTATCTGCTCCTGTTCATGTAGTTCATCATATTCTTGTCTATCAGGTAATACTCCAGTATTGGAGGAATCATCCCAATTGTTAGGTCTTGTAGGCTCCTCACTTTCTCCGGCAACTTCAGAATTTTTTATCTCAAATTCCTCATCAGTTTTCACACTCCTGTCACTTGGACCAAGAGGGAACACCTTCTGCAGTGCTTGAATTGCACTAAACTTTACACTATCAAGCACAGCAGTAGCTTCAGCCCCCAGTTTTGCTATGGCTGCTGCAGCAGCCAATGGTGAACGACCACGTCCCTCCAACCTCTCTAAATACCTCAAGACCGTTGAATCATCATAATAGTCTCCTAGCTTGAATTTTATATGCTGGGTCTCCCTAAACCTGGGAAATACCACCTCCATCAGCCATGTTTCCAACAGCTTACAAAGCCCAGGAAGAACATCATTTTCCTGGTCATCTTTGGAGTGTTCAAGGACAAAGTTAACTATGGATGGATCTCTATAAGGAGAGCTCTCAGAATCCAATCCTAACCACATGCGACATTCATCAATTTCTCCTACAAGAAGTGCACAGAGACCCCTTTCCAATGCAAAGTCTATTTCGCGGGTCTCCCTAACAGTATAGACGGTCATGGAATTTGCAAGAGCGGTAACCTTGGTCTGTTGAAGTTGCTGAAAAAGGTTGTTAGCATCCTGGATCAAATGAGGTTTCTTACCCACAAAAGCCAGAGCAACAAGTGCAAGTGCCACTCCATAGACTTCAAAATTTTCTGGTGCAATATTATTTGGTGTGGCAACAAATAGATCAACCTTACAAAAAATCAAGAAAAAAAATTATTTACAAAGTAAAAGTTAAGTATTACTCCCCAAAAAAAAAACAAAGTAAAATATCACAGCCGGAAAAACTTAGAGCTACATTTTCCTCATAAACAAGAAAATGCAATTGATCACCTGTTCTGCTGCTGTCATATGCAGGAACGCCTCATTCATAAAACCTTCACGAGTAAACCCCCCAGAAATGGCAGCAGCACCTCCTCCTCCAACAGCCCATAAAATATTGCGCACACCTTGTAGACCCTCCGCCCTTTTTTGTGCAA